ATATTTTCGTTTGAACTCTTTCATGTGTGGTAATATTGTTTAATTTCTTCTTCTTTTTTTTTTTTGTTTTCTAAAACGCATTTGCCTGCGGGCGCCAACATCCCCCTTCAATTTTTTTTTTTTAGTTATTTAACTCTAGTTAAGTATTTTGCAGTGTTGGGGAAGTTACTTATTTTTGGTAATTAAATTACATTACTAATTACTTATCAAAATTGTAACTAAATTATTTTTAAGTTTTTTTTTTTAATTTGGTTAAGTTACATTACTTTTGAGTTTAAAAAGTAACTGAATTACAATAGAAGTTACTTTTTTCAAAAATATCACTGGAGCTTAATAATCATGTTGTCAATATAAGAATACATAAACTTAATAGATAATGACAATCAACAATATGAAATTATTAACGGATGATACTTTTCTTGCAACACTATTATTATTATTTTTTTTATTGAATTTAAGCCCGGCAACTATGGCCATTAGCTGTTGTAGGGGATTATGAACTGTGTTTGGTAAGGTTGGTATGGTAAGGTGTTGTTACGGTTTTTACGGTTGTTACGGTATCTATGCAAACACGTGTTAGTTTTTTACTACTACGAATCCGGGCGGTCACCCATCCAGGAACTAGTAGCAGCGGGCGTAAGTTACTATCAGTCGTATTGCCAAGTCACACATTTATTTATTAATTAATTTTTTTTTTTTTAACTAACCCTCAGAAACGTAGAAAATTGGGTGGTTTTTAACCGTGGAGGATACTGTAGGTTTTTGTAAACACGTGTGTTTAAGCTTGGCAGAATTTCAAATTGGGCACCCGTAGGTGCCATGCCCGGTCGAGGCGGCCTCTCTCTCCAGACAAGTGTCTGCCGGAGAGAAGTTCAGCCCGTGACCGAGATTCGAACCGGCGAATTTATTGATAGTTCCAACAATGCTGTATGAGCCTTCCGTGACGATACAACACAGAGTAAAGATAAGAATTCCATTCTAAAAGTAACACTTTATAGTCGAATAGCCAATAGCTATAACAAAAATATTACAGTTTAGACAATTTTACCTATAAATTAAAATACTTATAAGTTATATTATGATATATTTTAATATTTACCTACACACAATATTATCAATATATGTTCTAAAAAATTTAATAATCCAAAAAAAAAGTAGAGAGTAGGTAATTTAATAAAAATTACTGCAAAAAAGTAACTTAAATTACATATAAGTTACTTACAATAAAATGTAATTAAATTACCATCAAATTACTTAAAAAGTAATTTCGTTACAGTAACTTGTAACTTAAGTTAAGTTACTCCCCAACACTGGTATTTTGTTTAGACCTGAACGTTGATAACCAGCATTGGCCCTATGAATTATCTTTCTTTAATTATCTTATCATTTTGAATAGTTTTTTTCTGTTAAGTTTCTGGACATTTTAGTTTGAACTCTTTCATGTGTGGTATTATTGTTTAATTTCTTCTAATTTTTTTTTTTGTTTTGTGTTATCTGTATAAGATTCTGGACATTTTATAATTTAAATTATAGTCAATATTAGTCAATTGACTCTTTAATGTGTGGTCCTATTATTAAATTTCTTCTATTTTTTTTTGTTTTGTGTTATCTGTTTAAGAATCTGGTTATTTTCGTTTGAATTCTTTACTGTGTGGTTCTATTGTTTAATTTCTAATTTTTTTTTTTTTTTTTTTTCTAAAACGCATTTGCCTTCGGGCGCCAACACCCCCCTTCAATTTTTTTTTTTAGTTATTTAACTCTAGTTGAAATTCGAATTTTTACAACATTGGATGTTCACTCGATTTCTCATGTAGCGATTTCCTTATTTTGTTGTTATTCATAAACGAATAACTATAGATACATGGAAATTTCACTGAATGTTTATATTAGCATTTCCTATACACCATGCAATTTCGAAAATATTTTGACTCTTTTGAGCTGTTTACGGACATTTACAGCTTTCAATTTTTTTTTTAGTTTTTTTTTTCTATGAATATCAATAAAGTTTTATCTGTTGTGCCATAAAGTGTAAAAATGTAATGCAAGGCTCCTGATATATTTTTACAATATCAGTTGAAAAATATTAAAAATACATAAGCACAATTTTTTTTTTATAAGCATTTAAACATCGAATTTTGACAGAATGTTTCAAAATCTCGAAAATTATTTATCATCGTAATTAATAAATTATAAAATGTTCAGTTTTTATAGCTACCTAAGGATTGTAAATTAAAAACAAGATTCCACATAAGTAGTTAATTCTCTTAAAGAAAAATCTAAAATATATACAATTACAGTTTATTTTTATAGTCATTTTATGTTAAAATTTTAACGAAATTACATATTAAAAAACCTAGTTATTTTGTTGTGATTATATAATATTATTCGTGGGTACCTACTTGAAATTTTTAAAGTGTACTATTATATATCTATGATAGTATCAGGGTTTGTTATTGATGTTGATGTATAACGTGTTATAAGTACAAAGTACCTAATGGATATTGTGAAAATGTGATATGATTAATTTGGAATTTATTATAGGTCAATTTTTTTTAATACCATAGATATGTATATAATTTGTCTTAAACCTAGACTGACTTACCGTCTTCGCTCAGAATCGTTTTTCTTATGCAATGATATTGTATCATTGAATTCAAATTTAATAGCATCCATTATACAGTGACCCACTTGTAACCTACTGTACAGCAGAGCGACATCCACTTACCCACCTTTTGTTATTTTATTATTAGGTATTCAAAAACGGAAAACTGTAGGTAGGTACATGAACATTTTACTGAATGAATATATTTTCATTTTCTATACACCATAAAATGTTGAAAATAATTTTACTCTTTTTGAAGTGTTTACGGACATAGTCAGTTTTCAATTTTTTTTCTATAAATATCAATAAAACTTTGTTAGGTAAAAAAGCGTGTAAATTTAATGCAAGGCTCCTGATATACTGTTACAATAGCAGTTTAAAAATATTAAAAATACATAGGCGCAATTTTTTTTTATTAGCATTAAAAGTTCAAATTTTGACAAAATTTATCAAATTAAAAATTTAATAATTATTTTGTAGTTAAAAATTTATAAAATGTTCAACTTTTATAGGTAAGGATTGAAAAATTAAAACAAGGTTTCACGTAAATACGTAAATTACTTTATTCACAATAATATCATCAAATATACTAAGTAATATCATAGGCTGACTGACCGTTTTCGCTCAGAATCATTTTTCTTATACTATAATATTATATCATTGAATTCAAATTTAACACCATCCATTACAGTGACCCACTACTCGCAGCAATGTTAATGTTTGAGGTTACCTACCTAATTTTATTGTAGATATCAGTTTATCCCAAGTCATTCTAATAATTACCCTACTGTCACAACTCTTAAATTATCTTCATCCAGAATCTATCTTTAACTTACCGTATACAGATGTGAGCCATCGCCCATTAGGTAGGTATATTTTGAAGATATCTGCTATCTAACAATATAGACCAGTGATTCTCAACCTATTTTTAAGCTGTGGCACCCTTGGGAAGCAAAATACAGTGGAACCTCGGTATCTAGAAGTTTCTGTGGATCGTCCAATACGATATTATTGTATCCAACGATTAAAATTTATTTTTTAATTTTTTACAAGATATATAAAATCTGTACCCTTAGGCACAATAAGAATATGTGATATAATATTTTGTACATGAAAACGTGAGGGAAGAAGCCAACCAGTGAAGGCACTACCTGTTATGGAATCTTTTGTAATATGTTATTGCTTCAGCGTGAACTGTTTTTATGTTTAGATCGTGTGCAGAGATTAGTTGGAGACATATGGTGGGGCATTAGTGATTAATCTTAAAATTTTATTTTTAGCGGTTTGGATTTTATTTACATTAGTTACTTTTGCATTGCCCCCAAAAATAAATATTTTGATTTTTTTTACGTGAATGCCTACGAGTTTGGAAATATATAATTTTAAATAATATCGTAGGTACACTTAGTCAAATAGGTACATTTTTATACAAAAATTGTATTAATTATAAAAATGAGAACATAGATTTTTTTTCCAAAAAGTGTCTTGTCTCAATTACAGTAGGATTTACTTAAAAACCCATAGGTCATAAACATATTACAATTTTAAAAATGCAAAAATGTCCCAACTTTATTTGTTTTAAATAAAAATAGAAAACTAATGTATCCGTGTCACTGTATCAGGTATGCGTTTATTTGTCAAATGTTTTATTTTTAACATTATTAAACTAGTGTTTTTTTTTTTTTTGTTATAATAGTTCCTGCAAACATCCAGTTTTTCCTTCCACGGGTCTGTTTCATTTAAATATGTAAAGCATTAGAACCCCTCCATGTCAAAAACTGAAATTGCCAAATAATAAGAGTGAATTGACCTATTATCAAACTCAAAGTTAAGTACATTATCTGTGATTTATCATAAGTGTTTTTTTTTTAAATATTTTAATTGTTAAGTAGTTTATTAGTATGAAAAATATTATAATTTGTTAAAAAAAATTAAATACAGTAAGAACAAACAAAAAAGCATAGTTAACAGTTTTTCCATTAAGTTTGATAGGTCAATTCTCTCTATTATTAAAGGTTTTACACAAATTAGATATGTTGTACTTTTGAAAGACAGGAACGACACATGCAGATGTGGTGTCTTCTTAATTATACTGATAGTAGTACAATTATTCATAAGAAAAAAAAATGTTAACAGATAGCTAAATTATGTTTGGTGAATATGGAGTAAATTTATATTGGGTATATAAACTGCTTGAATACATTAATTTAACATCACCCTCAAATTTCAAATAAATAATTAAACTTTCCCTTAAAAAAGTGTATATAAAAGTATAATTGAAATAATAATGGCTTAAAGCATACAATTAACTATACACATTATAATTTTAGTTTAACAAAAAATGTATTTGTATATTATAAGAAGTAACCTAATTTTTTTTTATACCAATTTAAAAAAATTATTTAATATATTTATCCATAAATTTTCTATGAAAATCTGAGCGTATGCAATCATTTATAAATGTTGTGTTCTTTTCTGGTTCCGTGCGAGCACAATTTTTAAATACCACATCATCATTCCAGCGTCTCTTGACTTTTTGGTTAACTTTGGGTACTGCTGATCCCCCTCCATAGCTTAATAACGGATTTCCTTGAAGAATATTCTGTATTCTGATTTGTTCCTCAGCTTCACGTTTATCTGCTTCCTATTAAATAAATGATAAAATAACAAAATATTATCTTGTTTAAGTCTGTTTATAAATTATAATATTTATTACTATTATATTTCCAAATTGATATGGCTTTTAGCAATAATTTAATCAAATGAAATTCAAGGGAGTTTTTAGAATGTACTATGAAGTACTAACTACCAAACTCTGTTTACTGGAAACATCCCAAATAGAGATCACACAATATTATTATAGGTATTATGTCCAAACCATAGACTACTCGGTGATACATCGCTAAATGTACTAATTATGTAAAAATGTAAGAATTATTTATGTTTTTGTAGGATTTTTGATAAACACCAGGTGTTTCTTCTATAGCAAACCACTCATTATTTCAAAAACTTTTATCATTTTTAAAAATATTTATTTCGCGTAATTGTTAGTAATACTAAAAATAATAACATTTTTTTTTTAATTTTTCATAATTTATAAAATAATAAATGATTTGTATAAAAAATCACCTTGTCTTATGCAATATTTCAAACTAGGACCTATAAAACATTTCACTACCTGTGCAATTTTTAATTTATACATATGCATATTATACATAATATTATGTTGGCGTTTATGTATACTTATTCTAAATAGTAAATAGTATTATTTAAGTGTAAATAATTAAATTTAACAATCCGTTACTCCATATGACAATATGACATAATAATATTATTATTGCTGTATTAAAACAGTAAAATTTAATTATTTACACATTTATAATAAAATTTAAATGAAGTGTACAAATACTACATGGATATTATTATTTAAGAATGGGTAATTTTAAACTTTAAAACTATGGGTTATGGAACTGATTGATGTCACAAGAATATTATTTTTGTATGATTTATGTATTTTTGTGATGATTTTTTATATTATTTATAAACTATATTAGCTATTAAATATAATAAATTATTATATTTATATAAATTTCTAGCCCCTAATTTATAACTAAGCTATATTATTTATGTAACTGATAAATATTATATTTTAAAATATAAAATATTCAAGTTTTACGATATTGGGATATTTACCTAACCTTTAGATATAACCAAAAATATACTAATCACAGTTTCAAAAAAAAAAGCTTATGTTAATAAAATATAAGCCATGAAGACATTTTGAAGTTATGACTTTTAGAAAGTATTGATGTAATTCTTAACAATGATTCTTCAATGGCCCCATTGATCATTACTTAGGGACTGTTATTCAATGCATTAGTTGGTATAATTATTTACACTATTTTTTTGGTACTTTGATATAGGTATATAATTTACAAGTTTAATGCTGAAAAAGGGACTTAATAAAAACCAAAAAAAGGGTAATACAATTGTATATTAAAGTAAAATATTTATTTTAATTTTATTTATTATAAGCATTTTAAAATTTTCAAAAACTTAAGCACTGACGAAAATTGGTCAGTTGACTGATTATTCTCTTTTAAACTATACCTATAGTCATCATTAGTGAACTATAATATTCTCGTAGGTTATATAGGTGATGGGTTGTATATTATGATGTTTTTTTTATATTATAATTAGGGATTAGATTTATCTTTAAAGCATCAATGTAAAACTTTTCGTAACCTGCAATCCATTTCCAAAATGCAAAAAAAATCTATAATATAATATTAGTACAACATATTACATAAGCAATACATTATACTACTATTCTGAAAATATGCATTACTCCCTTAAAAATAAAAAATATTTTGTTTAAATTAAATGCAGTTGATACAAAGAATTGTTATTAAAGTTGATTTTACTATTTTTACTATTCAAACGCTTTAAAAATGGAAAGTAAATAATAATATACTGAGATATATTACCATACGAGCTTCTTCAGCCATTCTTTCTTTTTTAATTTTTTGTAATTCCAACATTAATTCTTCTGCGTCATCTTCACTATCTTCATCATCTGATGCATCTAAATCTAGTGGATCGTCAACATCCAATGTTGCAATTGGAACATGTTCGGGACGTATTTTTTTCCTAGATAACAATAGTTTTAATAATAAAAGTTTAAATATTTCTTATATTGTTGCACTTACAGTGGAGGTTCACCACCTATTGCTTTAGTCACAACACTTTTTTCTTTTTCTTCGAGTACTTTGGCAAAATCTTGCTTCTGAAGCTCTTCAGTTGTGCCCTGTCCAGGTTCCCTAGACAAAACAATGGTAACATGGATTAGATGGTTGCTCCGTTATTACAATGAACGTAAAATAGGTACCTGTATTTCAATTTTGTGTGCGACGGTAAGTCCCTGCTGGAATACTGCACAGACAAGGCACTGAGATCATTTTCTCCACGGCCCTGGCCACCACGGGCTGGTTCAAACGTCGGTCGGGCAGCAGTCGTCATGTCTTAAAGAAAACGATAAAAATAAGTCGTACAATTATGGACCGATGATTTCGTTCGGTAGTACGATTGATTGTCGAATGATTAAACTTTAAAGATGGTACAGTACTACAGTGACAGTCACAGAATAAATAATTATTATTCAGAAATCAGAATAGTTATTCTGTAATCTGTGGTAGAGTTTGAGAGTTAGACAGTTGAGTGGTTGACTATGCAGTATGCTATCACTGTTATTACCGGGCCTGTATTATTTGTTCCACAAAATAATTGTTCCAATTACTATTTGTTCCACAAACTACTTGTTCCAAATGTGGAGCAAATAGTTTTTGGAACAAATAGTAATTGGAACAAATATTTCGTGGAACAAATAATTATTGGAACAAATATGATGCGGATCAAATAGTAATTGGAACAAATTATTTGTGGATCTTAATAATATTTTTTTTGGAACAAAAATTATTTTTTTTTAAGTACTATTTGTTCCACAAAACAATTTTCTTAACCCTGTGACCCACTTGGGGAGGTGTTGCACAGCAAGTCGGGGGATATTTTCGATTTGCGGAGCGGAGCGACGGCGCCGAGGAGCGTAGCGACGAGTGCCGCTAGCACCGCATCACTGTACGATGTTTTTTTCAAATTGGTGGCTCGGTGCAACAAAAATGCAATTTTCTCAACCCTGTGACCCACTTGGGGAGGTGTTGCACAGCAAGTCGGGGGATATTTTCGATTTGCGGAGCGGTTAGGAACACTTGGAACAAACGTTTTTTGGAACAAATATTCATGGGACAAAGTGTATTGGTACAAATGGTTTATGGAAAAAAAGTTCATAGGAACAAATGTTTTGCGGAACAAAAGTCCATCGGAACAAATATTTTGTGGAACAAAAGGTAAGATTTGGACCTTAATTAATTTGGAACAAATATATCGTGGAACAAAGGTTTTGTGGAACAAAAGGTAGTGATCCGTTATTACCTAGGTACTTATTATTGGTAATTATTACAGCGGTCTAATCGCATAGTTTCCCCCACTACAATATTTACCGTGACAATTTCGGATCACGATTTTAGCTGTGGTGACCAGACGACGGTGCTGCTCTCTGCTATCCCGTCCATAAACTATATCATGATACAATAAAATTATGAATCGGTTGTCGCTATTAAAGAGAAATTCCGCTATGAGCGCCATACATACTACTTGCTATAGTCACATATGTATATTTAATCAATGCTAGTATAGTAGTATATGATCTAAGGTGCGCCCATAGAGTAATAAAACTTAAGGGGACGTTATAGTGACGTAGATTGGTTTGCAGCCATCTTCCAGTCTTCTCTCTTAACTGCCTTCTTTTTCATTTCCACATACGAGTTACATCCTTGATCCTTTATTATCTGTTGAATGAATTCCAATCTTGGTGTAGACGGTTATTTCCCTCTATTGTTCCTTCTATTATTAATTTCAACAATCCTTCGTGTCTCATGATATGGCCTATCCATTCATTCCGCCTTCTGACTATGTTATTCCATAGTAACTTTCCATCTGTTAGTCTTTCCAGTTCTTCTATATTGGTTACTCTGTCCACCCAGCTTATCCTTAGCATCCTTCTATAGCACCACATTTCAAACGCCTAAATTTGAATTTAAAAATGTCCGTAAAAAATAACTGTGTTCATATATTTTTTAGATTTTTTGGTTACAGTATGAACTATTTATGAGAACCTTTGTGTTGAATTTGCAATCCTTAGCTATAAAAACTGAACATTTTATCATTTATTAATTACAATGATTGATAATTTTCGAAATTTTGATAAATTTTGTCAAAATTTGATCTTTAAATGCTTATAAAAAAAAACTGTGCCTATGTATTTTTAATATTTTTCAACTGCTATTGTAACCAGTGGCGTACATACGGGGGGGGGGGGGGGTTCGGGTTCAAACCCCCCCCCCCAGGACCAAAAAAAAATAAAAAAATAATGTGATATTATTGATGAATTTCTTATTATTAATCAACCGTGTATACACAAATATACGTCATTATAATATGACTATTGAGCAAACAGTAAACATTATACCAAACCAACAACGAAAAAAGATTTCATAACGAAATTATGGGTGCCGTATAATATGGTATATCAATTAAAATAGACATTATTTTGATCGTACACAGTCAGTTAGTTGCGTGCGGATATAAATACATATTAATATTGTCTTTATCTCGACCGACTCATTATAAACACACACGACTTTGAGTTTTTTTTTTTTAACTCAGTTAAGTTAATATGCATACACATATAGATATAGTATATATTGTATTTTTAAGTACAGAAGTTACCTATCACATAAGTAATAAGTAATAAATAATAATAAATAAGTATTATATATTTTAGTTGTCTTTCAAACAGATATAATTTGTGTACATCATAATACGATGAGTATTGAGTAGGTATTTTTATTTTTAATTTTAATGTTTAACTATCAACGTGAATACTGTTAATAATAATTTTTAATAATAATTAATAATCTCACAAAACCGTAAACCATAAAATCAATAGGTAATTGATTTATTTTTTTTGTTTATTTTTAGATTTTAGTGTCGGCAAACTATATCATAATTTTATGTCTATATTATTGAAATTTTGACATGGCAACAAAATAGACTCAAATAATGAAATGTAAAAAAATGAAAAACAAAATAAATTAACTTACAAATAAAAAAATTAATTCGTTAATTTAACGTTGATTAAAAAATAAATTTAGTAAATTATTAGTTAAGTTAAAAATTATTATTATCACAGCATAATCATTATCATTCGATTTCGATATATTTTAGGTTTTGAAGGTAAAATAAATAGTAATCATGGCTGAAAAAAATCAATTGAAACTGCAATCTTTTTTTTCGAAACCACCCTCAATAATGAATTCATTGTCAAATTCATTAAATGCAACTCAAACAGTTATAAGTTCCTCTAGTTCCTCATTACCATCAACTGCATCTGCATCTGATACACCTATCACTCAGTTTACACCTTCGACTACAGATATTAATCGTACATCTTCCAGTTATAATATTTTTGACATTGCACATTACACAAATAAATTGTTAACGCAAAGTGAAATAGAAGACATTTTGAGCAAAATTTGGGTCCCTGATATTAATTACAATTTTCTTATCAAAATATCAGTAGTCGGTAAACAACAAAAAGTTTTGTGGTTGAAATTTCAATATAAATGGCTAATTAACTTTCCCTGGTTGGCCTATTCAGAAGTAAACAATGGTGCGTATTGCAAATATTGTGTTGCTTTTACTAAAAATGAAGCCGGTGTTAATAACCAAAAATTGGGAGCATTTGTATTAAAAAAATATGATGATTGGAAACATGCATTGGAAGACTTTAAAAATCATTCGAATTTAGAATATAACAATCAATAGAATTTTTATTATAAATAATTAATAATATAATATTTATAATATTCTGTACTTACTATGTGCATATTAAATAATATTTAACTGCCATGAGTTACGTAAACCTTTGTATTTGTTTTACTATTTTGCCTATTAATATTTATACGTGTAATGTGTTTGATTGTTAGGAAAATGGGTAGTTGCAAAGAGAAAGTTATAGTGCTGGTTATTTTTTTTAAACCTCCCCCAGAGCAAATTTGAATGTACGCCACTGATTGTAACAATATATCAGGAGCCTTGTATTAAATTTTTACCCTTTTTGGCCCAACAGATAAAACTTTATTGATATTTATAGAAAAAAAAACTAAAAAAAATTGAAAGCTGTAAATGTCCATAAACAGCTCAAAAAGAGTCAAAATATTTTCAAAATTCTATGATGTATAGGAAATGCTAATATAAACATTCAGTGGAATTTTCATGTATCTACAGTTATTCGTTTTTGAATTACAACAAAATAAGGAAATCGCTACATGGGAAATCGAGTGAATATTCAATGTTGTAAAAATTTGAATTTCAAACGCTCATAAAAATTTAATTTGACTTTCTTATAGACATTTTTCTTTTGATAAAGGTAGATAATCTTATAAGGAATCTTGTGTTTCATTTTCAAATCTTAGATTTAAAAAGAAAAATTTTTACGAATTCTTAACTCAAAATAATTTGCTAATTTTCGTGATTTTTCCATATTTTGTCAATTTTTGAACTTTAAATGCTTATAAAAAAAAATTGTGACTAAGGATTTTTAATATTTTTTATCTGCCTTTGAAACAATATATTAGGAGCCTTCTATTAAATTTTCAAGCTTTTGCAACCAACAAATAAAATTTTATTGATATTTTTAGAAAAAAAACTAAAAAAAAAATGGAAAATTGTGTTATTACTAGGGCTTGGATTTAAATGCCCTAAAAATATCAAAAAAATGCCCTTTCAAAAAATGCATTTATGACCTAAAAACTCTAAAAAATGCCCTAAAAGTATCAAAAATTGACGTTTCAAAAAATGCATTATTTATTAATTAAATTCAAATTTAATTATTATTAAAAAATGAGGAACAAAGTAAGTACCTTCGACGTAATACGCAACACGACTGAAAGCGTCCGACAATCGGCCACGCGCACCACCGATATAATATTATCGCTCGATAAGAAAATAATCCGATAATATCGGCTAATTGGATGGTGTGACATAAAGGTTGTAAAAACCGGAAAACCTGATGTTAAATTAGTTAAAATAGTTCAAAATGAAAATAATTTTTATTACGTAGTACTATATTACTATGTAGTACTTATATTTCAATGAGGTCAATTTTTTTACTCATAATACGACAAATAGGTCAAAAATGTCCTAAAAAATTAAAAAAATGCCCCAAAAAATTATTATGGTTGGATTGCGAAGTACTTGAAACATATTTGTAGCTTGGAAAGCATCGCGTAAGATATCCCAAAAAAAAAAAATGCAAATGCATTGAAATCCGAGCCCTAAATATTACCTTCCTATCAATGTGCACAGTACACTAGTAACAATGTAGCATACATCTTAACTGTTGTAGTGTTGTCATTTCATAGAAAGTATTAACTTCCTAGTTACATTACAAATAAGTACCTTTAATAAGTAAATAAAAATAATCACTATTTACTATAATACTACTAATTAGTAATTACTATATGTCTATATTATAGTATATTATAAACTATAGTAAATAGAAATAAATAAAATAATATACATACCATCTCCGTCCTGGCGGCTCTCAGAAATATCGATGCAAATAATAAACAGTTCATAAATCATAATAGAAACATTTTTGTAAATAACTTTTTACAAATAACTTTCATTTTAACAAAATAACTAAGTTAAGTTACAATTATTTATAACAAGAAATAACTTAGTTACTAACTAAGTTATTTTCTACATTCTATTTTTTTTTAACTAGTTAAGTTAAAAGTTATCAATAAAAGCAACTTTTAACTTAACTTTTAACTTTTTAACTAGTTACTGCCCAGCTTTGCCAAAAAGTATATTGAAGTTTAAAATCTAAGAGGTGATTACTGGTCTAAAAGGCGATGACGGACACAAATAAAATTAAAATAAACGCACATTATTGTATAATCAATACATTCGTTGATCTAATCAGAATCCAAAAAATAGTTAATAGTAGAACTGCGTCATTAAATTAAGATTGAAATAATTATTTTCTTTAAAACTATTTAAAAATAAAGTTTTACAGTTAAAAAACAAAAGTAAATCAACCAATATTTTACCATAATAATCAGCACTCGACACATTGTGTTTATTTATTTAAAAATGTAATTTATGAAATGTTATTTAGAAATGTGAAATGTGAATGCTTAATGCTTATACAGGTACGCCGCGCCGTACGCGTAGGGCTTATTCTATATACCTACATATCATCTATTCGATAAGGTAAGAAAATAGTAGTTAAATATTTCAGGTGTATTTCAGACGATAACTCAAATTAAACCACATCGTATTATTATAAATGTTTAATGGCTTATCGGATGTTCGTTTATATACCGACTTTGTCTGGAAATTGGTATTGTATTGAAAACGGTCGGATCAATTATTATTCCGATGTGAAATCCCGGTGCACTTCAGCCTAGGTTTAAATAATAGTTTTAATGTTGGTCTCACCCACTGCGGCGACTGAGCCACCGGGGTAGGTAATTTATCATTTCCCGCGGAGATGGCGCTACGAAGGCCTTAAATCCGACCGATATGCACGCAGCTATATAGGTATATACGATCGATATCCCTTAATCGGATGAAATAATATTATCGTAGGCGTTTAGGCGTTTTTTTTCACACCTCCAGCGCATCGTGAAAATTAAAATAACGGTCGGGAAAATTATCGTCGTTTACGGACTAAGATTAACACATGATGATATTAACATTTTCAAAAAAAAATTATCTGATATTTCTGAAAAAGTCAAGCAAGACAGATTTTTATTAGATATGATGTCAGTATCAAAAGTAAGAAGAACTGATCGACGCAAAACTAATCGTAAAGAAAGAATTTCGATTAATTATTTTATACCAACTAAAGAAGGTGATAAATACCGTGTTTGCTTAAATGCTTTTTCTTCCATCACATCAATAAAAAGAAAACGTTTAAATATTATTGCTAGAAATTTTAAGACAACTCAGTTAAGTCCTATTGAAAAGAGAGGAGGATCTCGTGTATCTGCAAAAAGTGAGGAAATAACTAAGTCAATAATTGATCACATACTGGCATTTAAAGTAAAAAAGTCCCATCATACAAGAAAAGATAGTAATAGAAGTTATCTACAACCTGGTTTATCAGTAAATATTATGTACAAAGTATGGAAATGTGATAGAATAAAAAACAATAAACCTATAGCTTCATTTAGCAAATACTATAATGTATTTGTATCCAAATTCAACTTAGCATTTGGTCATCCTCGGCAAGATGTTTGCTCATATTGTACTGAAATGATAACTAAGATAGAAAAAGAATTTGAACAAGAAAAGAAAGAAGAAATTAAAACTGATTTGCAAATTCACAAAAAAAAATCAAAATTGTTTTTTATGAAGATGGCTGAAAAAAAAGAAAAAGTAGTTTCAGTCTCTTTTGACATGATGCAGACTCAGCCTTTACCCAAACTCAGTGTAACCGATGTATTTTACTGTAGACAAGTATGGCTTTATAATATAACATTTGTAATAAATTCAGAGGGTGTGGAAAATAGAAATACTTGTCATACCTATACGTGGCTGGAAATTGAAAGCGGCAAGGGACCTAATGAGATATGTTCAGCATTAATTTCTTTTTTAAGCTATTTGGAAGATAAAATAAAGCAATCTATGTCCCCAGATTAGTATCCTGAAACTTTAAATTTGTTCTCAGATTCTTGTTCTGCCCAAAACAAAAATAAGTATATGATAACTACACTATTATACTACATAAACTATAAATCTTCTATATTTAATAACATTTATCACATATTTCCAGTTCGGGGGCATAGTTACATGCCTCCTGATAGGATATTTGGACGAATAGAACAAAAGCTTAGGAAAAAAGAAAATATTGTGTCACCTAGTCAGTATTATGATGTTTTTAAAGAAGAAACCTCAGTTCATGTCTACGGCAAAGACTTTTTGATGTATAATTTTAAAAATGCAACAACAAAACAGACAAAATCAGTTTTAGGTTTTGAAACTACAGAACAAAAAGTATTTTCTTATGTGAAAGGGTTACACACAGTTGGTATAACACCATCTTATACTGATACACAAGTTCGATTAGACATTTTAAAAAGGAACTCTAATCTTAAATTATTTGAAGACAATTTAGAAGTTTTACCAAAAATAAGTCACGTAAAACCAGCAAAAAAAAAAGATGTAGCTAGTTTATTAAAATACTTTTGTATACCTGAAGATGCAAAACAATTTTATGATGATGTGATGCAAGAAACCACTAATAATATTGTTTTCGATGATGAAAACCCTGAAGGTGCAGCTTATTATGATGAAGATGAATGTTAACAAATTTGTATTGTATTTATAATAAGTAATAATATTCAAGTTAGTATAGTATTTATTTGAATAATAAAAACATTGAAGGTTAGTTAATATTGCATTAACCTAATTTTATTATATAAATATTTTTTTTTTTTTGTAGTGAAGTGATGACATTTTATTTTTAATTATATTTAAATCTTATAAAAAAGTTTCAAACCTTTGTTAATAAAATAAAAATGTATTTGTTTAAAGTTTAATATAAAATTGTAATATCATTAAAAATTTCTATTTTTTTTTCCTAACAATAAAATGTTTTATTTTTCAAAACGGTCTATTTCTGGAAAAAGTATGTTTTGATAAAAAGTCTATAATTTTCTGCAAAATTTCCTATTTCCTTCTATCTTTATCTCTTAGAGTACTATTTCCTAAAATAGTCCCTTTTGAACAAAATCCCAAATTAAAAAGAGGAAAAAATTGATGAAAAATTAATAAAACTTTTATTGTGCCAATCAGTTTAATTGCACTTTTTCTATAGATTAAGTGTAATTCAGTTATTATATAATTTTTATGGGTCTTGGAACAAAAAAATGTGTTTCCTGAACAATTTTATATTTGGCAATAGTGCGCTTTGGAAAAGAACCCCTCATATGTGAATTAGACATTATTAAGTTTCTAAGGCTTTTCTGGGTGAATTAAAATCATCGACTGTAACGTCTCCAAATCCTTTATTTGTATGTTCGTTTTCTTCAAACTCATCGTTGGAGAAATATAATTTTCTGAAAATATAAAGTTGTAAAAAATATCTGAGTACCTACCTAATAATTATTAAAATAATTTAATATTAAAAATTTTACCTCTTAGATGATTTACTAGTCGTGCTCAGAGTAGTACCAGTGTTGCTATAAATTATTAAAATGTATTTTATATTGTTTATTTTACTCCTCTAAACAGACATGCGGTTTGGATTATGTTTTGTGACAGCCTCTGGCCATAATAATATCTACTATATACTGAGCCTTGCTTATAATTACTGGTTGTGAAATGATTACCGCAGATTCTGCTCCAGATAGAAATTGGGTAATCTTTTAATTTGAAAATTTATTTCCTTCTATTTTCATTTTTTGGAAATCTATATTTGTGAACAAATTAGACTGGCACCATATTATTAGGAAATATTAACAGTACAACTAGAAAATAATACTTACAAATGAAAATTAAGGTAATGTGGCGAGGCACAGAGCACTACCTAAGGATTCATCTTCTTTGCCATTACGTCCCTATGGCATGCAGCCTGACTGAATAGAGTCAAACTCTAAAGTAAAACAATGGTTGCATCATGTAAATAAACACAAGTTAGTATACCATCCAGACACACTTTCTTGTTCGCAAAGGTGGGTACCTACCATAAGCTATATTTCATAATAATATGTTTATAATTATTTACTTATTTTAGTATTTTATTAATATAATCTTATTTTTTTGTAGTTTTTTTGAGGTACAACATGATGAAGAGCAAAAGAACGAGATTTCTAGCAGTGGTATAAGTGATGAAAATGTTATTATACTAAATAAAAGTGTTCAGAATAATTCTGATAATATATGTACGACATATTTTAGCTGAAGGATGCGGTCTACCTGCGATCGGCCGGTTTTTAGACAGGCCTAAATTTATTTTAGATTCTGAGTGGAACGATGAATGTATTAATTTTACAAAGTTGTGTGTTTTATTTTTTTATTTTTTTTGTGTCTGTCATCAAGTTTTAGGACAGTAAAAGTACTTGGATTTTCTTCAACAGTAGCTTTTCTAATAGGAAAGTGAATCTAGTTGGTACTTTGGGGGGTCAAAAATGAAAATTGCTCCGATTACTGATCGTCTTTGGGTGTGTAGTAAATGATCATTAGTGTGTGTATACTCCCATACCATCACCAGCGACCCTCATCAATTTACAATACATTGTTATTTCTTATCTGGTTTATGGTCACACGCACGCACATCAACAAGTCATTTAATGTCTAGATCAAAATATTCAAAACCAATTTATGGCAGTGAAATAGCCGTCGCACTGACAAAAATTAAGGTACTTCTAGTGGTTTGATTTAAAAAATGTAAAGATGTTTGTATTGGTAAACAAGTTTAATTTGCATCGGTAGGAGCACTTTTTCAATTTTAGCATATTCTTAACGAGAATAAATATTTTACAATTTATAAATTTATGAATTTTTAGTATTGAATATATTCAAAAATATCAAAAATATGCTCCGACCGATGCAAAGTAGACTTGTTGAACAATTAAAATATCTTTACATTTTTGAAATCGAACCATTAGAAGTACTTTAATTTTTGTCAGTCGCTACTCACTAAGGTCGTTTTGATGAAAAATTAATAGGGTTTGCAGGGTCCTTAAAACTTTAATAAGACTTTTTGGGTGAACCCAACAATATCGCAACAACCGGTAACAACAATAAGGAATTACGGAACATCAGACATCCAAACATTCAAATTTCATTGTATGAACATTTTGGTTATTAATTCAAACAAATCAAGTTTAGCACCCACTTGAATTTTTAAATTTTTTTTCGGAAACCTTTGTGTTTCGATGAGTTAAGAACGATGGGGCAAAAATTAATTGGCAGAATAATCATTAGTTTTTAAGATATACCCCTATACGAAGTTTACGATTTTCGGTGTCTTACCCATTGCGCATAACGTTTATCACGCTTATAACGAATTATTTTTTATTTAAAAAAAAAAATAAAAGGTAAATTAACGTATTAAGAAAGTTGGTAAGTGGATGTTGCTCTGCTGTTCAGTAGTTTACAAGTGGGTCACTGCGTATAATGGATGGTATTAAATTTGAAATCAATGATATAATATCATTGTATAGTGTCTATCCATATGGATAAATCACCAGAAATTCGTTAATTTACCTCTATAAAAACCCCCCAACAAATACATGCATTTGTTGTGTTCTGTTAAAATTCAAGTTAAAACCCAAATGTTGGAGGGGTTCCAGTCGGTCATTTTCTAAGGAGTAAGAATTGGGAAATTATGTGGCAAGTACAACCCTATGCAAAAGTGTGCGAGTGTAAATTATTAATTGGTGTCCCAAGTAGGAGGGTGGTCACTACGCCATACGTTCGTCGTTAAGGTGTTCAGGTTATTTTCATAAAAAACCTCGATAGTTTAAAGTTTAGGTTCGGATCTAGATGAAGACGGATGAAGATAGCTGTTTGTTCAGTGGCTGTATACTCCACGTGACCACGTCTGTGTTCTAGGAATGGCACAGCTTGGTTTTACCGTAAGATTCGATGTTTGCACATATGTATGTTTCCATATTATTTGGGGCTAAAATTTACTTTTCAGATTTAAAATAAATATTCATTGCCACGGACCAGCTGTTCACTGGGTGACGTAGAAGCATATATTTTTATTCCAAAAAGCGCAATGTATAAAATACACGATACGAGCCCAAACAATCCAAACGCCGTCTTCGTATCACCACGAACAGGTTAATATGTACCTATTTTGCCTATACTATACGCCGGCCTACTTACAATTTTAAAATTGCTTATTTGGAACTCCTTAAAAACTGTCAGTTTACAAACTCTTTAATAATTGTAGTCTGGAGTGCAGTGGGGGATCCAGGGCTTAATTTTCGGTGGGGAGTGGGACAAAAGTACAAAATTGTCTAAACACAGGGTAAAACAGAGGAAAACTACGGACATGGATCCCCCCTGGATCCACCACTGCTGTAGTGTCAAAAAGGTTGAGATCCACTGTTCTAGATTTAGGTATAACCCATACAGTTCATCTTGGCCGACGGCTGACGTCACAAACTACATACACAGTTGGTATTACTTTACATTATGCCATCAAAAGATAGTAATCGTAATGGTTGCCGTCGGCCAAGATGAACTGAACGGGTTGAACAGAGAATAATATTTTTGAGGGAATAAAATATCGATTCGCCTAATTATTGTTTCAAAACAATTTAAACATTATTTTAATTTACAACATTTGTTTATTTTGAAAATCGAATACAAAATCAAATAACAATAAAATATAAAATCTATGTCATTCCCTCAAAAATATTATTCTCTATCTTTTTTTTAATGGGTGACTTTACTCTAAGATTACTTAAAAACATAGAAAAATGATTCTGCGTAAATGAGTTTTGTCTATGTTGCGCGTGGGCCAGAAAGAGAAAACAAATAGTGCGCTGACATCCTCTTAAATATTTTTGATAATATGTGTAATACCTAATAATATTATATAATACACTTCAATATAAATTGTTTTTTTTTTAAATTGTTTAAAAGACCATTTTCGGTGCATGATAATTAATTTTCCATTTTAAATTAAAATTTAAAAGTTGATCCATTTTGAGCTATTTACATCTCCAAGCAATTTTCGATATTTTTTTTAAAATTATTGTCGATAAATTATCCTTTGCCAGATCAAAAAACTTGAAAATGTAATACAGGGTTCCTCATTTCCTCAAAAGTTGTTATAATACCTATAGCAGTTAAAAAATATTAAAGATACATAGGTTTCTTATAAGGAGTTGAGTAGTTAATTAATACTTTAACTAACCTAAAAATATATAATCATAGACTTTTTTTTTCCATATTCTAAGTTCAAATTTAGACGAAATTAAATATTTAAACCAACACTAACAATCTTACATATTTTGTTGTAATTTAAAAATATTATTTGTGGCTACTTCAAACTTGATATTTAATTTAATTGGTAGATCTTATACATATAGGCTTCCGTAGACTATTTTCGCAGGGTACATATGCTGGTATATTTAAATATACATAGCTTAATACAAAATATAACTTCCCAAAAACTCTTAATAGGTACAAATAACTTTGCATATAATGTGAAAAGAAATTAACATGCATTTTATTTAGCTTATTAATTGGTTTTAGATAAATTTAATTTGAAAAGATTGGACTGTGACTTCATTCCAATGAAGAAATAGTATAAAAACCTACAGACATTTGATAATATAATAATG